TGTCCACGACGTCGGACAGATTCTGGCGAGCCATTTCGGTCGCCGGAGGCGGTCACCCCTACTCTACGAAGTCTGGAACCTCTTTGGTCCACGCTGTCATGGAAAAGTATTTGTTCAGAGAAAAGATGCTCGCTTCTTGCTTCATGGCACCGGATCCCTTGACCGAAGCGAATAGCCTCCATGATCCCAACTTGGAACATGTGTTGCAGGACAAAGAGAGGTTGTATCAGTACTTGTTCGGAGACTCCGTGAGGGGAAGCCATGCATATCAGTCCATCGCGGGAGCTTCAGGTGAGAACGAGTCTGAGCGAAGGAAAAGGGAGAAGATAAGGAGAGAGAACAAAATGCCATGGATGGATGAGTACTGGGGAGTCCTTCAACCAGAGCCAATCTACTCGAGGACTCAGAGGTGGTACGTCATCGATGACTTTAAGGAGGGTGAGGAGATTTGCTGCGATTACTGTTTGGTCTGCGATCCCGCAGACTCCGATCAGAAAGATGATTGCTATGCAGAATGCATCAACGGAGCAGCAAATAGGTGCCGTGGGATGTCCGCAGAAGACTACGTCCAGAAGCGGCTCCATGCATGTGCTCGAATGCTTTACAACTTCGGCATGGGACAAACGGTATCATCTCCCACCGTCATGATCTCCGAGATGAACCCGCACGTAGATCTGATGAAGTTCTTACATGAGGCGATGATCATCTTTAACGGGAACCCAGGTTTCCAGAAGGAAATCTCGTTCTTCGGGGGGATCAGGTTGTCATCAACGATGACGGAGAACTTCTTCAAAACGAGGAGAGGACCCAGCATTCATGTGGAGAAGCAGATAATCGGCAAGGCCATGTACTTTCAGGGATCTTATGACCTTGGCAACGTGTGCTACACCAAATACCTCAAGACCATACTGGAGCCCGAGGTATTCCGAAATATGTTCGGAGATGATCCCTCGGAGGAACGGGTGGGTGATATGGTGGAAGCGCTGCTGGGCATGTTAGAAGTTGCTCAACTCTTCAAACACCTGTTCTCGGGATGGGGTGACATCGAGGCTTTGAGGACGGGATTAGAAGAATCCATCAAGCGTGTCACTGCATCACTGTACGACAGGACAACGTATGAGAACCGAAAGCGATCGATGATCAGGACATTGGACCCGCACTCTGAAGAGGCGGCAAACGTGGCACTGATTCTCGTTCGCATGAGGACCATGCCGCCTCCTGAATTCGACATCGACCACTTCTTCGAAATCGGGAAAGAACCAGAACATGGAACAGAGGCTAATGACCAGCCCGAGGCCGAAGGTGTCGATATGGAGACTGAATTTGAACAGGAGAAGGAGGAGCCAGACGTTGACATGTCCGACCCGAAGACATCAATACTGCAAGCCATTGAAGAGTTTGAGGAGAAGATCGGGCAAGCAGAATTCTGCATCCACTGCATGAAGTCGGGACACACAACTCTCAATTGCGAGAAGATCCCTTCATCTTCACCCACAGTCACCTCAGTGCTGAGTGATTGGAAAAAGAGAGTGAAGGGAGAGGTTGCACCCGACGATGTACCATCCGGACATCCAACCGAGGGGCCTAAGAAGAAGAAGCAGAGAGCATCGCCTACTCCAGATAGGAAGGTCGACAGCGAGTTCAGGCGAAAAGAGATGTTGAAAGCAAGAGTCGTGACAATGTTTGACCATGACGGGTTCACCTTGATTGAAAGTGCTGATGGAGTCGAAGGAGGGACACATTCCTACAACGGGCGGAAGCTGGCGGAAGTAGGCCCTAGGGATATGAAGGTGGTGTACGAGTTTGTGGAGAAGGCATTTGTGCACTCCAGTTCCCTCAAACCAAAGGCATGTCATCAATTCTATCCCCTACCGACACGGAGGGAGAAGGGATACAAGCCGATCGACCCCATGACAATGGTCGGGAGAGTTGAGCTAGTACCGATCAATGGAGTCACTTTCGCTGCACAGAACTCCGACTACGGCAACCACAAGTATCCGACTCCAGACTGTCGAGTACCAGAGTACAGCCAAGCGAGCCAGGCCCTGAGTCGACGATTGGGAGCGAAGTTGAGACATCGAATTGGACGCCAGTTCAGGACAGGAGGAAGACTCACTCCAATCAAATGCGATGAGGGCGCGTGGGTGTCATGGGAAGACCTATTAGGTGATAACGCGGTTTGGGAAGACGGTTATCACTATGGCAACATTGACATCGTGACCAAGAAGGCGCGTTTGGAAAAGTACCTCGACCAGAACTACGAGTGTTTCCGCATAACCAAGAGGATCAGATTCCAAATGTTGGCAGTTCGCGTTTACCCTGATGAACTCAATGATCCTGATGACCCGATGGAGAAGGAATGGATTGACGAGCTCAAGGGCATGGGAATCACCAAGGCAAGACTCCACAATAGCGATGGATGGTGCTTTCCCGTGGCCGTAAGAGCAACCTCAGCACACTCGTCGGACGGCGGAGGTTATGACGTCACCATCAACATCGACCACATTGGATCGAGAATGACCAACGACATGGCCCTATCCATGGTGACTGCATTTCACGCTACCAACCTTGGAGCGCTGACTTCAATCATGCGACGGGGGCTGGTGCCAGGAGGTCTCGGTTTATCGGGAAGGGATTCTATCCACTTCACATGTTTTCCGCCATGGGCCTGGGAACAGGGCTACAAGGGAAAACCTTGGCTGGGTCGTAAGGTCGCATTGAGTGATCGCCCAGTGGTTCTCTACATTCCGGTGTGGAAGCTGCAGGAGTACGGGCTTCTCATCTCAGCGACTGGATCTCTATTGGTTGAGGATGTCGTTCCCTTCGATGAGGTTAAAGGGGCATGGTTGCAATGCGACAATGCAGAACCCGGACAGCCTGAGGAGATCGAATGGATCAGGTTACTCAATAGAGAACCCGACCCTGGAAGCTACCTTGTTCTGGAGTCCAAATACGGAAACCCGATCATGACTCCACGCTATCAAAAGCTTGAGAGTTTGGCGATCGAGGTCCAGGACGATACCTACTCCGAGGACGACGCCAAAATCTCAAAGCTGTTGGGCACGATCGAGGAGAGTGGTATCTACCCAGAATATGATAGCACTGAGTGGCAGGAGATCTTTGAGGAGATCGTATATCGCCGAGCAATGAAAGACTACGGTTCAAGACCGTGTCCTAACTGCCTTGGCGAGGTCGATGTGCGATTGACGATATGTCCGCACTGCGTAGCGGTTTTGATCGCGAATGGGAAGCTCACGCATGTGGTACCCAAGGAGACAAGGGACCGCAATCAACGATCACCTCCGAGAGACGTGCCAGCCAGTTCTTCCGGTGAAGCGACTTCTTCTGCAGGTGCAAACATCGACGAAGTCATCAAGAAAGCGCGCAAGACAGCCGAAGAAGTCATTGACGTCGAGGAATCCGAAGGAGAGGAAGACGAGGGAGTTCCTATCATCATGAAGGAACGACCGGACGAGGCTGAAGGCGAACCCGAGTATCGGGAGGTCCCTCAAGATGGATACGGGAATGAACTTCCACAGCCTTTCCCCTTCGCAATTGACGAATTGCCACAGGAAGCCGCGATCCCCATCGACCACAACTTTGCAGTCACACAGCAATTTGATCTGAGGTTGATGAAGTTGATCAAGAGCTTGGCCAACGCAACGTTCGACATCAATTGCTTTGAGAATCGTGAAGACGTACTGCGAAAGTTCGACGATGGACAGCGGCATGACACTCCATTCAATAGATGGCCATTAGTACCGAATGATCCGGATACTGGGTTTCCAAGACGTCTTCAGAGAGCCGAGGTCGTGGGCATGAGCAAATGGACCAACGACACATATGCAACAGAAGCGTGGCAGATCTATGAATTCCACGCCCACGTTATTCACCCGATGATGATCACTGCAATCCGCTGCGGGCTTAGCCACAAGTATCTCAGAGAGGTCGGCAGCACTCGGCGTAACATGAGTGATCCAAAGGCTCGAAGATCTGAGACCCAGGAAGAGATCATCGAGAAGCTGGCATTCATCTCAAATTTCATCAGACGCTTGATCAGGAAGACCTTCGGAGCGAGCCGATACAGCTACTACCAGAAGCCAGATGACGAAGGTACCGCTCCATATAAATTCATTGACATTAGCCCCGCCATCAAATCGGAGCGAAAGAATGTCACAAAGGAGATCCTCGTTGCATGCCGCTACTACGGCATAGAGGTATCCGATATCCAAACGCAGAAATTGAAGCTCTTTGAGGAGCAGATCCGAAGGGGAAACCCAAGGAACGTTGAGCTCATCAAGGACTACATTGGTTTTGTCGGAGCTGACTACATGCGACAACTCACGAATGGTTGAGCACTGGGGTCGTGCCGACACACTACTTCCAGTACTTCATGTACTGAGGGATCTTGGGTAATTCATGATGACCATTTTGGCATCATGGGAGTGAGATAGGATTGTGCTTCACACCGTCGGTAATCATATGATACCACAGGTAGATGCACGTTTTCCGCTTGTAGCTCCATTACCTGTTTGATCCATCTCTCAAGCGAATGCAAGATCGTTTGCTAATTCAGTTTCATAAGACATACTGGTTGACCTCCAACGCACTTTTGAGAACATGATTGTTCTCCGGTTTTTACATCCAATCATCTCCCTTCCCCGTCGAAGCACGGATGTGGGGGGTGTGAATAGAGATGAGGTCCCAGTACAATTGCAACATGGACACTTGCCATAAACATTTGGCTCAAGTTGGCTCAAGTGCCCAACCAGGCGAAAAGAAGCTATTGCGCGCGAGCTTCATGTCGAACTAAGGGCTTGAACGGGGCCAGGGCACGCTTTCCATCCGTTCGCAAAAACATATATTATATATATTATATATATGTGTGTATGTCTGAGTCCTGAGCTGAGCTAGTGCAAAAGGTAACCCAATGTTCCGCACATTGATCGGCGAGAACTTTTTTCAGGCTTTGCAAAAGCAAGATATCGTTGAATTCTAAGGTGCTGGTGCAGCAGCTTGGAACAAGAACTAGAGCCTTTAATTTCTGGAGTGGGCAAAGACTTGACAGCTATATAGATCTGGCAGGTGGAACTGCTAGCAGCAATACAGTCTCCATCCGATCAAGGAGGTGAGCATAGGAAAATATGTCTTTTGGGTTTAGAGTTGACGAAGCTTCGAGACCAAATGGCTCCAAGAAGAGACAAGTCATGGTAGACAGGCCTCATAAAGTGTCATGGACTCTTCAGAGTTTCGTGCCTGGTTCAACTACTGCATTTGGATGGTGCATAGTATAGATGCCGCGCGTAGCATAGCTCTCCGCTTGTTGCATGTTGTTTGCGGTTGTCGATTGAATCCGAGCAATGTCGTTGGTTTTACAGGGGTGTAGGACTTGCTTGGCAGCATAGAGGTTATAACTAACTGTATGGCACTGCACAGCACAGCACCTTGAGGTAACAAGGGCTCCTCGGCCTGGCCCAGGGCCAGAAAGAAGAGAGGCCAGCAAACGCAAGTTAATGAGAAAATCATAGAACATCCAAGTGGTCCAAGTATGCGTGTTGAATCAACACGATGTGTTTGCAAGTATACAAGCATCAACATCGCATACGTCCAGTATGCAATGTTTTGTAACCTCATAGAATGACAAAGTTGAAAATATACAGCAACACACATGATAGATTATCATATACACTGGCTCTCGCAGTTTCATGTCGATAATCAGGTGCGGACACCTGCAAATATCTATTTTCAACAGCTTTCAAAGATCTATAGGACAACAACATGGTTGCACAACAAGCGGAGAAACTACTGTACTAATAACACAGCGAAAAGACCAGTTGTATAAGTCCTGCATAAGTTGTATATCAATCAATGGCTTTTTCAAAACTCACTCCCGTGATTCCCTCCTCTCCGGTTCTCAGTTTAGGCAGTAAGCCCGAGCAGGGCTCTCAGCTTTGCTGTTGATTGGTTTTGATGTGTGAGTGTGGGTCCACTGAATCTAGTAGCGATGCCCTTGTTACATCTTGTTACTAGTAGCTTCTTGTTCCTAGTAGTAAGGCCAGGAGCACCTAGTAGCGTCCTTGCTCCTAGTAGCGATGCCAGGAGCCCCTAGTAGGTTCTAGGTACTGTGGGTCCACTGAATCTAGGATTCATTGCATATTGGGGTTGCCACCGCTATCCTGAGTAAGAGGGAAGACACTGCGAGGATCTAACTTCCAACGCACCATGTCTTGGTGACCTCGACCTCGCTTTTCAGCGGTTTTCATATGTTTTGAGTCAAGCGTGGAAGGGATGGTCCTCACAACTGATCTACCGATGTTTGGTGTTCAGGAGGTAGACAATTTGATGCCACCGAGATGGACATATATAAGTTAAGCAAGCAACAAAGCCCTTTAAACATCGATAATACATGATAATACTACGTAGTAGTAAGATATAGGAACTGTTGTATCTTTTGTTGCAGCGCAGTGCTGTGATTGCAACATTCGCGCACCGCTCATGGTTTGCTAAGTTGCTGTGGAGCCCTTGGCTGCGGAGCCTCTTCATGCGGTCGATACACCAGCTGTGCCGGATGGCAAAGGTGGTGGAAAAGGAAAGTTCGATCCGAGCAGGTGCGGAACATGGACGCTACTAGGAACAAAGGGCATCGCTACTAGGAGCAAAGACGATACTAGGAGCTCCTGGCCGTACTACTAGGAACAAGAAGCTACTAGCAGCAAGGATGCTACTAGGGGCTCCTGGCATTACTACTAGGAACAAAGGAAACTGAAATTTATCTTCGTGTATGCTGAGCACATTGCCACATTGAACACATCTCGCGCAAACCTTCAAACCTATTTAGTACCATTTCGTACCTGTTCCCCATGTCCAACCAGCATAAAGCAGATTCAAAGGACCTCCCCAGCCCCCACAGCGGCCAGGAAGCTTCGAGCAGAGGCAGGGCGGCACGAATTGGTTTTTGAAGTGTCGTGAAAGGGACGACCCACTCTCTCTCTCTCTCTCTCCCCATCAATGTTATGTCCGTACATCGATTACTGGGTATTCAGTATTCAGATTATCCAGCTTCCCACGAGAACAAATATCGTGATGCCTGATTTACATATTTACTGCTGCAAATATAGTTTGCATGTTCTTGTGCTAAAGTTAAAAGCCGGATCATCTACTATGGAGTTGCACACAACTTCTGAATCCCGAGTCGAGAACGGTGGTGGAAGCTTCAAGTAAAGTAATTATCACGGAGCAGGTAAGTTCGAGCCAAAGGATAGATATATTATATAGAATCTCCATGAAGCTCCTGAGTGAATGCTGCAGATCGCAGAGATGAACTACAAGATGCGAAATACTTGGCCTGTGCCACCATGCCGCTACGTATCTTTCCAAGAGGTAGAGCGAGGGCGAGCGAAGGTACAGGTCTCAGCTTTGTTTTGACTCACCAGCGAAATGAGATACTTGTTCAAACATGTTCAGGAAGTACACTTTTTCCACATCTCAAGGTGGCTCCTGTTTGCCAAGCACCCCAGGCGGGTGACCCTTTTCCAGCACTCAGCTGAGCACTGCTGTTGGTCATAAATTTCAGGGCATGTTCATGTCATTTGGCGCGGGCACTTGGTGGAGCTCATAATGGGCTCAATAGACATTTGCCATCATCGTTTATGGTCTCTCCAACAAAAAGGTTTGTGGGGTACGAGGACAGAAGAACCTTCGTCGAAGAACCATTATTACAATCATTATTTCCTTGCCTTGCCGTCTCTTGCTCCTAGCCCACCGGCCTAAAATGAATCAGGTGACCTTCTCCAAATGGTCTACAGCTGATGCCTGTGCCTCAGCTGTGGAGTTCCACAATGATCTTCGAGGTGTCCAAAAACACGGCTGCGAGAACCTATTCAAGAGTTGAATCAGCCATATAACTATAATATATATATATATTGCCGTGCAGTACGTCCACAGAGTCCGAGGACTTCCATGTATCCCAATACTGTAACATGCTAGGTCTATGTGTCCTGATGGTGACGACAATGATGTTGAGAAGACTTGCACATCACCAAAATTTATTGTCCACCGGTCTACCAAACTAAATGTGTGACCACACTCTTTGGCTTTTGGTATCTAAGCCTCACAAAACCATGGCAATGTTTCAGCAAATTCTATCCTTTCATGGCTATTCAAAACAGGAGGGCAAAGCAGCAGGGCATGCTGTTTGTATGTTGTGCTTGGACTTAGCCGAGTTGCCCAAAAATGTGTTTAACTGATGGGCACGATCCAGCAGAGCAGGTTCAATGGTGTTAAGTTCAGTACCGCAACTCGGAGGATCTCGGAGGTTCAATAATTTGTAAAACCTTGTTTTACGGACAAGGAAAGGTTTGGAGCAAGACTCTGTCTCTCTAGCAATTGTGAATCAACAGTTCTCACAGACCTGAACCTGGGGCCAGTCTATGATATGTTACCAGGCCAGGTCTGTGAGAAGTAAGACGACCTTGGTGGTACCTTGCGTTATACACTTAAAGTCACAAGGAATCGGAATTGAGCGATGGCCTCCAACCTACTAGCGATGGGAATTCTGTTACACTCTCGGCCAAGGCCTTGTTGAAGTTTGGCAAAGTCCGCGGCAAAGAGACATGTGGACTGAACTTTGCAAACGGCGAGCAGGCCGAAAGTCCTGGGCAAAGGAAGCGTGGAATCGAGCAGCGTCAAGCAGATTGTTTGTGTTTGCACAGCTTTTGAGCCAGAATGTAAAAATTTGGCTTCCTTAGTCAAGGCCTGTCGTCAATGCCTGTAGTCACTGTAGTCAATACCTGTCAGGTTTGTATATATATATACATATAATGTGTGTATGTAAGTTTGATCAGTAGCAAATGCAATATCATGCAACACCCCAGATTTGCATATGTCCGTAGAATTGCAGATGTAATGTGAGTGTGAGGAAGGTGTTTCTCAGCAGACAGTTAGGGCGATGTGGCAATGTCTTGGCCTTCAGTCAGCGTCACTAGCAGCTAACTAGCAGTTTCGTGTGAGTTGGACATTATTGGCCGTGTCATATCAAACTGACACTGTGGTTTTCGGTGTAGGTCACAACTCACCAGAAAGGTCTTGGCCCGACGGTCCAGGTTGGAGGAGGTTACAAGACAGGCGCATTGGCACAGGACCTTGGGGTGACTGACTGGCTCGTAGACACAGATAGGAATACAAATTATATCAATTATAATGCTTCTCCTTCTCATTCTTGTAGAGCTCGAACATAACATGCGAGAAGCTTTCAACGAAGTGCACTTTCCTAGACTCAATTCATTTGCATGGCTTGAACTTGGAGGGGTTTTATATAGGTGGCATTACAGGTTGAACGATGCCCCGTTTCTTCTGCTCACAAATCACAAACAACGAAATTGCGAACAATTGCCGTACAAAGGTATACAGCTAGCGGCTAATGCTTCGACAGGAGGAGGACTTGTGTCGTCGCATTCCAAATCTTTATACATCCCTTCTGAATGCAAAGAGGGCCTGGATCTCAGTGACTACCCAGAGACTACCCTGTAAGAGTCCTTGAGGATCCACTGTCTCATCGTTCCATTGCTAGGCTGCTGAGGATCGCATGTATCCATTTGGACCCTGCACCTGCCGCTCACCGGACTTCTGATCCGATCACGGTCACATATTGCGGCTGATTCATCGGCTTCTTTGTTTGAAACGCATTGGGCAAGTTGGGCCCATTATTTCCGACACTGAAAAGCTCCTTTGTTTTTGTTTTGGAAAGTTTCACCTTGCACGCAGGACAGGCCTGAGAAGTACTCCGACGTGCTTTTCACTTCCGACCTGGTCCAGTTCTCAGATTGTTGCTGCCCACTTGGCAATGCATGCCATGCCTTCTGAAGCACTTCAGGTTGTGGCGCGAGCAGCTGAGGAGTACAATTTCGAGGTGTTGCCACCAGAACAGCAGGCCCAAGTGGCGGCCAGCATATGTTAATAATGATGCTGGACCCTCAAGCAGTCATGTTCCCGTTGAGCTGGCAGGAATGATTGTCGTTTGTCCTAGTGGGCCTTAGGAAGGAACAAGATATACAGTCGACTCAGGTTGATGCATCTTGTTCATTTTGTTTCCTTATAGTGCAGTGCAATTTGCTCAGGTGCCCAAGATGTAAAGTACATGTTAAAAGGGGGTAGACGGGGAATGACGGGGATGTGGTTAGAAAATATAGTTTCTAGGATGCCCACAGAAGGCCTATCCCCTTGTGAAGCAGGTGAAAACATCTTTGGTCACGGCGGCAGTAGCAGTCTCAGCAATTACTCGCGGTCTTTATTGAAAGAGACAAGAGTTACGATCATGCAAGGAGTTGCTACCTGTCCTTTGGGAGGGAGGGAAAGAGCTAGGCCATTAGGAAGATTGAATGAGAAGGTGGAAAAGGCAGTTATTCAGACCAAATCCGGAGTTGAGTGGGACAGAGGAACTGATCGGGAAAGCAAATGCGTTGGTTCTAATTATGTTCTAATTTTACTTAATTCTAATTTTTATCTTAATTCTATTTATTATTGTTTCTAGTAGCTTCTTGTTACTAGTAGTAAGGCTAGGAGCCCCTAGTAGCATCCTTGTTCTTAGTAGCGATGCCAGGAGCCCCTAGTAGCGGCCTAGCTACTATGCCTGGACCGAGGCACCGAATATCAATTTCGCCAAAGAAATCTCCGATCTGAAGCTAATGCGCAATTCGGTGGAAGCTATTTTTATTGCGCCAAGACTTGTGAGGCGCGTACACCAATACAATAATTTGTCAATATGCTTGATCAGCTGAGATGACAGAGTTGCGCCTTCGATTGCTGACAACATGTGTTTGCTACGTACATGTTTACCAAACTGCGCCACTGCACCTCGCCAGAGCTGTACGTCAAGCAGATACTGAAGCTTCAATCAATTCCATAGGGATAAAGAAGATCCAAGAAGACAAGGAACAGGAAGACAAGGAACAGTTTCATCATTAATTTTCATGTTCAGTGTTCATTCAAAGTTACTGTAATTCCCTGTGTGCTTTGAATGTCAGGAAAGACATCAATACGCTGGTTCTCGGAGCCTGGGGCTGTCAGTGGCCCCAACAACAGGTCACAGTGTTCCACCACTTGTGACTGCTTGGGCAGAGAAATCAACGTGACGTATCGAGATGTATCGAGTCACATCCAGTCACCAGTCACAGTTGTACTATTTGGATCATGGTTGTGCGCATGGTGTTGTTTGCCTCGTAATGCCTCGTATCTCAATTTTCCAAATGTAGCATGGTGACTATGGCGTGGAATGTATCATACATCAAGCCAGCAAAAATAGCATAAGCCAATCAGCATGCATTCTTTATCATTTGGGTGTGTAGAAAGATGTAGAAATAAGAGATGTCTCTGTGCTGTATGAGTTATATACAGACACACACGCACACTGTATATATATGTATATGCATGGTGTATTTTGTAACAATAATATATGTTTATAAGCAATACATATAATACTGTGTAAATCATTGATGTGTAATATTGTGTAAATCATGCATGGTAGACACGGTTTGTACATTTTTGAGGCGGTGCCTTTGGAGGCGATCCAAAGGAGATCAGCGAACTCTTCAGCTCCGTCCTGGCGGAGCTGGGGCCACCTCAGCGAGATTGGCATCTCGTTGTCATGTTGTATGTGTTTTAGCTTCTCGATACTACTAGTAAGGCCCTTGTTACTAGAAGCGATGCACTTGTTCCTAGTAGCGTCCTGTTCGTAAGGAACGGTATATGTGTTTGTTCGTTTGTGGTGGACCACTTGTAGCGTCCTCGCTCCTAGTAGTAAGGCCAAGAGCCCCTAGTAGCGCCCTTGCTCCTGGTAGCGATGCCCTTTGCTCCGGTAGCTTTGTTGTCATGTTGGCCTAGAAATAAATCAAGAATAAGTGAAGGTGGACCACTAAGTGGCATATGTTTGAAGCGTGATTATTCATTGCAAAAGAAGGGTGATTTGTTTGGAGTTTTGCTGAGATAGTTTGCTGTTTACGTTGAGATACTTTGAGTCATTTCATAACTGGGGCGCATCAGTCAGACTCAAGCACGGCAGGTCGTTGTATCAAGAAGTGCACTTTGCAATCCCTGGGCCGCTTGGCAAATCACTGGAAACTCGAACCATTGCTACTAGGTTGGAGGCCATCGCTACTAGGGTGGAGGCCATCGCTATTAGAAACAAAGCCAAGGGCCAAGAGCCATCACCTTCGTTCTTTGAGCGAGTGGACGGCCAGGGGCAAATCCGGTACCAATGGGAGAGTCTTCTGGGAGACGTTGAGCAGACGATTTGATGTTAAGGACTCTTGGCATGCTAAGAATACAAAGCATGTCACCATTGTGCAATTTATGGGTTTGATATGGTTTGATTGCAGTTCTCATGGATGGAAGATGCAAATGATTGCAAGCACAATGCACCTGTAATTTGAGCTTTGCAGGACATTTCCTGAAGCATGTGTTTCCTCGGAAGTATTTGTCTCTCATCGAGGCTTACAGCACAGAATGCAATCCGATGCAATTCTGGTTGGGTTGCCATTCTGGTTGGTTAGGCAGTAAATTTATGTGTGATTGAAACAACCTTGTTGCTGGCACGTCTTTCGTCATCATTTATTGCACCAAAGAGTCTAAGACTGAAGCGGTGCGATTTTGATGACCTTTTCAACAGATGCGTGACGAAGGGATCAAGAAGCTTGGTTGTTTGGTTTGGGGGGCATGCTTTGAGCGCGCATTTCCGCCAACGCTTTTGGGCAACCTATATGTGTTTGGAACGCTTTAAGTGTTCTATTGCTTTGCCATTTTGCTCAATCGGAGCCCATACCATGGGACAAAGAGGTCGGTCTCAGCCGGAGTAGCCCATGAGGCGAGATGGCGCAAAGGCGGACCAAATGTTGAGAATTCTTGCTGCTACGTGCAACTTTACAATGGATCTATCATGTTCTCTCAAGTGTTTGCTTTTATGCGTGTTTTTGCTGGTCACCTCATAAAGCTCGTTCTAACACGAAGATCTGCTTCACCTCAAAACACTGGGTTGTTTGTTCCCAAGTTCCAGCAAGTTGTTGAAGATTATATTTCATTTCAATCTATTTCATTTGTATAGTCTACAGATCAAAATCTGCACGCATGCATTCCTGTCGTACTCATCATAGCTGGCGGGTTTGAAGAAAGGGGTTCGTTGAAATTTAGTATATCTAATCTGTGAACTGAACTACTTTAAGTGACAGAAGCAGCTGCGCTCGTATTCCTTAGTCAACTCATCAGGAGAACGGGGATAGTACATAGAATCATCCACCTTGTCTCCTTTGACTCCTTTCCATCTTGAATCGTTCGCTCCTTTGAACCTCGACTCCAGCACACTTCAAACATGAACAACTTACAAAAGGTTTAGTGAAGTTTAGTGGCAAGCACGGCCCTATTTAACCAACAGTGTCGACGCCTAAAAGGCGCGCAAGTCAAAAATGAAGAGTTCGGCCTCACGGCAATCCAAAGCTATGCTGCCTAAACACCTCGAAGCTGAAGCATCCGTGACTTCACAAAGGCTCTTTTGTACCACTTAATCAGTTGCGATTGCACTACAATTGCGTGAATGTTACTGCTGCAGGGTGACCTTTCCAACAATCTAGGTTGCCCCTCTTACTTGTAGTTCTTGAAGGCCTTTGTTTTCCACGACTAAACCTGCTTCAGTCATACTGTCAGTGTTTGGCAGGTATCCGCCACCGCCAGAGGCGCTTCCAAAGGTACGAGAAGAAGCGCAAGGAACTGCAAGTATACTGGATACATTGTATACTGGAAAGGGATTCGTTTTGGTGTATACTGATTACTGCTTTCCAATGTAATGTATGTATTTTGACATCACATAGGACCGTTGCAACGTGCAACTTAACAGGAGCCGTCTTGATGGAATGTCCTGAGGAGAGGTCGCTGTCATTTGTGATCCTCCTCCACCCACGTGTTTGCCAGGGCCATTCAGTTTGCAAGTGCAACTTTGTGCTACTATGGATTCTGTCGAGTTATTGCACAGCCATGCACAACCATGGATAGCAACTGGTGTGGAAGTTCCGAAGACCAAGGCCCGGTGCTGGCAAAGCGTTTGACACCCAGAAAAGCTCATGTGTGAGGTAGCTGAAGGTGATTGAGCTTTGTAGGGTCTCTTTTTGGTGCTGTGCAAAACAAAGTCAAGATCATCAAGTATCATATTATCGCATAGTGAAGTTCATCCGCTTGTCTCAGGGCAGTGACTGTGGCCAACAACATGCTATATGATATATGTTAGAAGTCTAGTCTATTCTCTTGGAAATCACTTTTAGGTTTTATGTTGACAAGTCAACCTATTTGATGAGTTCAGTGTGCAATCCCTTTGGCCTGCGCCGAGCTTTGCTTTGACTCCACCACCGCCCACAAACTTTCCGTTCCCCTGGCACTATTGAGTCGCAGACGAGTGTGAATTCAACATGGTGGAATGCAATTGCTCCTAGTAGTAAGGCCAGGTGCCCCTAGTAGCGTCCTTGCTCCTAGTAGTAAGGCCAAAAGTGTCAAGTTGAAGCGGGAAGGCATCGTGCCTTTGCTGAACAAGTGCTCGGAACAAAGTCCCTTTAGGCGAACCTAAGGTGCTTTGCAGAGGCAAATAAAGCGAAAGTTCTTTGAAGGTGGATGAATCTCCACCGGAGCCAGAAGCATCCACTGTTTCCCAACCTGAAAATTAAGAACCAAATCATTAGTGTGAGCTGCTCTAAAAAAAACAAGATGGAGCCCACGAACCCGAATGCAAACACATACGTCAAACCACTGTGTATAAAAAGAGACGCAGCCGGTCAGAATCTCTTTTT